ACGAGAACAGGCTCGGGGTTTGATGGGGATGGTGAAGAGACGGTGTGAATTTGCCTTTTATACATGCAGGTCATTGCCGCTCAAGTACTAGAAGGGCAGTTACGACCGCAGCATCTCTGCATGGCAACGGCCACGCCACCAATAGTGCCTGCCCACGACGAAGTTTTGATACTTGCTTTCACACCATCATCAGCCATAGTGCAGCCATTACACCTCCTGTGCAATGGCTTGGGCTAGTAGCTATTTTCACCCCAGCTATTCTGGTATCAATTACAGCCCTCGAGTTGTTTCATCCAGCTTCTCACTCAGCTCTCACTCAGATCTGACCACGTTACTGTATCGTGGCTTCACAACAGTTACACTTCCAAGTCTTCGCACCATCCCGCGTCTGCCCGAGTCAACAGTGACTATCGAATGGCTGCGCGGCCGCCTATCTGCTCGACCTCACGATGCACAATTGTTGAATAACTTTTCGGAGAGCTATGTCGATAAATTGAAAAGCCCCTCATCTGGCCGCCGCGCTAGCAGGGGGCTGCAGTCAGCTTGACGTCGCGCAGAGACCGCTCTTCCGACTTGCTCCCCAACAGACTTCCCCGGCTGGGAAAGTTGCATTTTTTTCCACAGTGGCGACTGCGCGATGCAACGCGGAGGCGAATGCAGCGGGGTTTCGGGTGATGAAGGGTCTTTTGCATCTGCATATCGCGGAAGTGACTTGGGATGAAAGATAGTGGCTGCAGAAGTGGAAAGTGGCAGTGGCGCAGGTACACGTCTGCATCGCTTGGACCACGTGGGGGATCTTCTGCTACTAAGTCGGTGTATTCACACAACAACGATGCCCATGCTACCCGTGGACGACAGCCTCAGGGAACGCCATCTCCACTACACACGCCCGTGTTGAAACTCTGCGGGAATTCAGTTAGATCATTACTCGAATCCTGACAAGACCCATTGATTGCATTGTGCCCAACAACAAGAATATCATTGGGGTGTACCAATGGCCCAGCCTGGAGGAACTCGCGATACCAGGAACCGAGATGGCAGAAGCTTCTAACAAGCTTAGACGCTTGGCGGTTCCCGACTTCACGCCGTCAGGTTGTAAGACAGGGACAGCTATGGAAGTGGAGACTGAATCGGTACCGGTTGCGCTAACGTACCTCCCCTAGCACAAGTCAGGAACAGACATCGTTAGCTGTGCCCGTGGCTGGCGTCCGAGAAAACCTGCAGACGTTTCCACAGTCACGGCGACGCTTTGACTCGCTGCGGCAGTTTGCTAGTGACACCACCCCACCCTAGCTCGACCGTACGGGTCGTGTTATCTCGACGGCTGGCGCATCTGCAAAGGGTACCGCATGGGGCTTGCTAATTCTCAGCTTGATCCACGCGTTCTGGTCCGCCTCTTCTGTGAAGAATCTTTGTCTGAGCTCGTCGACCAACCACGCAAGCAGGCTCTCGATCGTTTGGAATGTAGAGCCAGATATTAACTACGCTGGTCAGTCGGTGTGTACGTATACATTGTGCTGTGCATACCTCGAATAAGAAAGTTTCTAGCTGAGGGTATCCCTCCACACGAGAGTCAGCCATGTTGTCAACCCAGACATTGAGGACCACGGGCTGTTTCTGCAGCCTCTCATTGGAGTTGACGCCAATCAGGCACGGGATGCGGACGTTGCGCAGGTACAGTATGTTCGAGCTGGTGCCAGACCCTTCGACGCGCGAGGTGATGTGTCCAGCGCCTTCGCCAAACATACTGCCTTTCAAGTAGCAGACGTCGGTTTCGATCGCGTATACGTCTGTCGAGCCTGCGACATCGCGAACGCATTGAGAGACGGCATTTGATAGAGCGACGGTTGACATCCATGCCATGGAATCATCTTTGAATCGCGCTTGTATCGCCTTGCTGAGCGTCCCGTAGTGCACAGTGCTGTCATCGACGGAGTCCGTAGAAGAAGCTGACGTGAACTGCTTCCCGAGTGTCAATGTGACACTGATCAAGGCCCGCTGCTTCTTCTTGCGTCCCCAAACATCTTTTCCTGCGTTGACGACGACCTCGAGATTCTGCACCATAATCTTGTCATAGTGTCCACTGGAGGCCACTTCGGCGTCCCACTGGGCCTGACGAACGACCTGGCTCATGACAAGAGTTTGGTTGGCAAGTCTGAAAAACGGTGTTGACTAAAATGACAGAGCGTATCTTGCAGCAAATAGATAGTGTGGAAGTTGGGTGACTTGTTCAGGATGTCAGTATAGAGTATCTGTGCGATCACATAGCAATTATGCTAGACGACAATGCGCGTGGGATAATTGTTGGGTCTGCGATTGACTAAATGCATTGTTGTTTTCGAATTCCTCTGGATCTCATCACCTGATCTGTGAAATACTCGCGCATGCAGAGGGCCGGAGGGCTGAAAGAGGGCTGAGATGGTACTCACCAGGCTGAAAGTGAGTTGGGTGAGGCTCGTGGTGGGGTACATGACGAGCGCCCTCCAGATGTCTGCCGCACGGACGTTCCCGCCAGAGCTCCGCAATCGAACATTCTAGCTACCCATCAAACTATAATTCAGAGCCTGTCCCTCGCACGCGTGGTACCAAAAGATTCGCAGTCACATTACAGAATCAACCACACGCATATACCTCCACCATGGCCGACGCACTAAAAGCCGAGGGTAACAAGCTCTTCGCAGAGAAGAAGTTCACCGAGTCCATGTAGGGTCCCCGCAAACACAGCCTAGCGACGGTTTACTAACAAATCCCAGCGAGAAGTTCTCACAGGCAATCGAACTCGACCCCCAAAATCACGTCCTCTACTCGAACCGATCCGGCGCATATGCCTCGCTAAAGGACTGGCAAAAGGCTCTCGACGATGCAAACAAGGTTACCGAGATTAAGCCAGACTGGGCCAAGGGCTGGGGGCGCAAGGGAACGGCGCTCCACGGCGAGGGCGATTTGGGTATGTACAGCATTCCTGGTAAATATGACGTCGCTAACACCCAATAGTGGCAGCCACAGGGGCCTTCGAGGAGGCACTCAAGCTCGACCCAAGCAATGCTCAGGCGAAACAGGGCCTCGATGCCGTCAAGCGCGCAGTCGAAGCCGAGGCGAACGACAGCGGTGTCGGCCTCGGTGGCATGTTCAACGACCCCAACATGATCCAGAAGCTCGCGGCGAACCCCAAGACAGCCTCCCTCCTCGGCGATGCAGAGTTCATGGGCAAGCTCCAGCAGCTACAGAAGAACCCGAACATGGCTGGCCAGTTCATGCAAGACCCCCGCTTCCTCTCCGTCATGAGCGTGCTACTAGGCATCGACATGTCTTTTGGTCAAGGCCCAGGTGCTGGAGGAGCAGGCGATGCAGGCGCAAAGGAGGCCGAGGAGGACGTCGAGATGCCCGATGCCCGACCAGCTCCCGAGCAACCGAAGAAGGCGCCCGAGCCCGAACCAGAGCCCGAGCCAGTAGAGGAGTCTGAGGAAGACAAGGCTGCGAAGAAGGCGAAGGCCGAGGCGGACGAGCTGAAGAAGAAGGGCACTGAGTTCTACAAGAAGCGACAATTCGACGAGGCTATTGAAAACTACAACAAGGCATGGGAGACACACAAGGACATTGCATACAAGACCAACCTTGGAGCTGCCAAGTTCGAGAAGGGTGACTACGAGGGCTGCATCCAGGCTTGTGAAGAGGCTGTCGAGTACGGTCGCGAGATCCTGGCAGACTTCAAGATCATCGCCAAGTATGTCATTCCCAATCTTACAGCAGCCATTTACTAACACACGCAGGGCCTTTGCACGTATCGGTACCGCATACGAGAAGATGGGCGATCTCGCCAACGCAGTCAAATACTACCAAAAGGCACAAACCGAGCACCGCACACCCGAAGTCCTCGCAAAGCTCCGTGCAGCGGAAAAGGCCAAGGCCAAACAAGAGAAGGAGTCATACATCAACCCCGAAGAGGCTGAGAAGGCGCGTGAGCTCGGCAATGCCAAGTTCAAGGAGTCCAACTGGCCCGAGGCCGTCGAGGCATACTCCGAGATGATCAAGCGCGCACCAGACGACCCAAGAGGATACTCCAACCGCGCCGCCTGCTTCATCAAGTTGCTAGAGTTCCCATCGGCTGTAGCAGACTGCGACGAGGCGATCAAGCGCGATCCAGACTTCATCCGAGCCTACCTGCGGAAAGCCCAAGCCTACTTCACCATGCGCGAGTACAACAAGTGTGTCAACGTATGCGCGGAAGCCATGGAGCACGACAAGGACGGCAAGAATGCACGTGAAATTCAGCAACAAGAAGCCAAGGCTCTGCAAGCACAGTACTCGGCACGCGAGGGCGAGACCGAACAACAAACCATGGAGCGTATCCAGCGGGATCCAGAGGTATGTCGACCCATACATGTTTCAGATGAGAGCTCTACTAACACACACTCAGATCGTTGGCATCCTCCAAGACCCCGTCATGCAAGCTATCCTTCAGCAGGCCAAGGACGACCCCGCGGCGCTGCAAGAGCATCTCAAGAACCCCAGCATCCGCTCCAAGATTCAGAAACTGGTGCACGCCGGTGTCATCAGGATGGGACGCTAGAAGCATTTCTCTGATGGCACCCAGGGTCTCATGCATGCTCATGCCAAAATTGACGATGAAGCATGAGTTCGCGATCATTCCACACATATTTTGTATGAATATACGGGAACTTCCTCTTTTTCTCTGCATAGCGTTTAGGTAATGAAATATCTACGATTTCTCCTGTTCACGTATGACTTGCCATGATGAGACAAGTGAGATGAATGAATATGCGTACATGTAATGCGGTAAAGAAATGTAGTCGCCTGTTATCGAAATCCACAGTATATATCTTCGTTGAGTCTTTACCTTTGCCAAATGCAGTCTTCTCACGGATACGTCAAAGAGAATGTGTAAGACACCGTACGCCCATCCCCATACTCCTTCCCAAACAAACCCAACAATATACTCTACTCTCCCGTCAAGTACACTTCCTCCTGTCTTCCATATACTACAACCCACTAATAAAATCCAACAATCGCAACAACGCACCATTCTCAACTCTGCAGCCCTCGCCCTCCCTCTGCGCTCTTCGCAACCCCTGCGCCAACCACAGCCTAATCGTATCTGGATCGAGGTTGCGGAAGTTCTGCTGCCCGATCATGACGAAGGCTTGGGCGCAGAGCGTTGTGCTTTCACTGGGTGACGGGGGCGGTTTAGTGGAGCAGGATGTGCATTCTAGCGTGTTTGTTGGAGGTGGTGAGGTTGGAGTTGGGGGGTCGTTGCAGCAGGGTGGGGGACCAGTTATCGTGAGGGTTGTTGTGTTGGTTACTGTGAGGTGGGTGTTGAGAGTTGGGGCCTGGGTTGATGTTGGGGATAATAGCGAAGCGTTCGACTGTGTAGACGATGGCGACGGCAGGTAGAAAGAGGATCCGCCCAGGAAGGAAAGGTCGCTCATGTCTGGGACATGCCCGTGGACATCAGGGTAGTTTGCTAGTTGCGGGTCGATGAGCTGATCTGGTTGGATGGATGTGAGTGCTAGCGAATCGGTTTGCTGGTCGGTTAAAGCGGAAACGGGTGGTCTGGGTATATCTTGAGATATAGTCGCGTTTCCTTCTCCTAGATATCTTGCTCCTTCTTCAACATTTTCGTTGCTGGTGTTCTGTCGTTGTTGGCCTTGTCGCTGCTGTTTGCATCCCCCAGCTTTCAAAGCGGCGATTTCCGCTCGCGCCTCTTCAAGCAACTTTTCGGTCTCGGCGAGCTTTTGCTCGAGAGAAGCGACATGATCGCGCTGTCGAGCGCGGTGTCTTCTCTGGTTCTCGCGCACGCGGTTCAACGTGTGCTCTGCTGAAACGCGTGACTTGCGGCCGTTGCCGCGAGTCGCTGTCGGTGCGGCATCGGAGGTGTTGTGGTCTGACGCCGATGAAGAAGTGGGTGATGTTACCATTGCTGTGGATGCTGAAGAGGGTTTTGCTGGGCTTAAGATTTCACGGAAGTGCTTTGAGAATTTGTGGAGGAATTGCGCACGGAGACGCTGGGCGGCTTCGAGAACGTTGAAGCGTGCCTGGGTGGAGGTGAGGCAGCGGGTGTAATAGCTTGGCGGTGACATATCGTTTTTGCGGGGATCTTGAAACACGAATGTGGTTGCTCCATGTTCGGGGTTGTCAGAACATGAGCACATGCGAAAATTGGGCTGAATGGATTGCAGTAGTAATTTCGGTCAATATGAGATGCACATTTTTTGGCCGACTTTTGAAGTTTGTTTGAAATTACTTTTGACGTTACTGACGTGTGGAGGCTATTCCTTGTCGCCAGCCTTTCACGACTTTGACATCTAACATGGGAAAATAAGTGTGCCCAAATTCGATAGCTCTATGTAAAATCATACCAAGCCCCGTAGGAAAAGCTTGATCCGATGATCCATCCAATCCACATCCTTCGAGTTGGCCCCGCCACCCGCAATATGTCCCCAGATACTGGGCACTATCTCCACCGTCGCATTCTCCAGGCTCTTAGCTTCCTTCTCGCTGACATAAGGACGGAAGTACTGATCGTACTCGCACGGCATGAGCAGAACCTTTGCTTTGATGCTTTTGAGTGCCGACTCTAGATCCTCCGCTTTGGTGCACCGAGTGATGTCTCCGCGCTGCCACATACCCAGCATTACCAGAAGATCGTCACCTGTCCAACCTTCGTAACCCTGAATAGTAGCCACATCATCCCAGTCTCGCAGTTGCTGGAAGCCCATCTCTTTGTAGCATTCTTCGTCGAACCATTCGGCGCTTGTCAGCCACGCGGAATAAGCCTTTCCAAATGCCCTGATACCCCTCTCGGGACTCTTTGCGCTTTCCAGCGCTGCCTTCGGTCCCTCGAGGAACTGGAAGTTGTGTCGGCTAGTTTTGGCGGAGGAACATACGATTACGGCATGCTTAATGAAATCAGGGTGTGTTGTTACCCAATGGTAGGTGATTTGGCCGCCCATAGAAAATCCTAGCATGACATCTACCTCTTTGATACCGAGCTCTTGGGTAAGAAGCTGGTACTGAGCATTGATGCAGTCCATGTACTCAAGGGTACTGGGGAAGTCGGGCGTGTTTGAAGGGCTGGAAGATTCGCCATTGCCGAGAAGGGCGATCAGGATGATCTTGTGATTCTTCAGAGCGGCGTTGGCATGTGTCAAGGTGGTGTCAAGACGGCCTTTGAAGCATGTGTGTACAACTGCTATCTTGCTGTTGTGTGGGTTGAGGATCTTGTAGGCCAACTTGAGTTTCGGCAGTGTGGTGCCATTGTGGAACTTGAAATCGGAAATTTCGTACGTTTGGAGAGGCTCGGAGCTGGCTTGAGACGACATTTTGGGATGCAATGGAATAAACGGCAGAAGCTATGGAGATGAGGGGAAGACGAAGTTTCGCGGGGTACTGTACTGAGGGTTCAGAGTGCCGGTGCGATGACGATAGTATGGGGCTTTCTTCGTCATTGGCGCATGGCTTTGCCCCACTTGCGGCTCTGAAAGACCGCGGTTTGGTGTTCGTCGGAAGTCTAATGTGTACTTTATTCATCCATCGGCCAACACCGGCTCTCATGATGCTCAGTGGAAGCATGGAAGCGGAGAGATGTGCTGATGGAAATGAAGATGGACAGTTCCTTCTTCTGTGCATCGTATGCCCTAGCAGCCAACGGCTATATACTGCAGAGCCGTTCACTGCACGTCTACCGAATTTGCAAGTTTCCTGCTGGGATGTTTGGTGGTTACTGCTTATGGGTTCATCGGGTTGCGCCACCAACGGCTTATAGTCTGGTAGATGAGCGCTCATCTTAATCCTACCATGTCGGCACACCACTGCATATCGGTAAAGGCCATGTGGCCAATAGCGGACGACCAAGGCCGCTAGCGTCTGAAGTAAGCACCGGTTGTTCGTGTTGCATCGCGAGACGCGCTGAATGGAAAAGTGTTTGAAGCGCTGGCAAAGGCACAATCCTCCTGCCTCGAAATTCTTGTGGCCGTGTTGTGTTGTTCGTTCGTGAAAGCGGAACGTCAAGGCCTCCGTTCCGAGTATATTTAGACGTCGGCCAGGTGGCACAGCCGAGGCTTCAGGTACGCTAAGGAACCGCTACCCCTGTCGCGCCTTATCAACTCCATTGTTGTTTCGGGCATAGCCCATCCTGTGGTCTTCCCCTTCGGGAGACACTCAATAGCCTTGCAAGCGAGATATCGTTGAGCAGTTGGAGTCTGTTGTTGTTGTCGCCATGTTCCTCAGGGGGTTGTCGAGGTGCGCACATGAAGAGGAGAGTGAAACACATGCCACGCACGTCATGACGATCTTGACAAGCTGGGGCCAGGATCTACGTACATAGAGTAAGACGTTGGGCATAGAAGACCGGGCAGTGCTGGTGGTGAGATGACAATGGAAACCACATGGAGAAGTCATTGTCGATGCGCCGGATACAACAAGGTCAATGTTTGAGCCGCACACAGACTGCAGGCGCTGCCGCCAAGGGAATTATATACGACCGCATGTGGTAACTGGGTGAATGTAGGACCGAGTGCGCGGCGCACAGACGGGATCTGGTGGGCTGAATGTGGGGTGTGTCGACGTTGGCGCTGCGAACACGAGACATCTGCAGACGGCCGTTTCCAAGCATAGCCGTAGCCGGCAAGCGACGCAGAATCGCAATTTCGCTGTACGGCTTTACGCAAATCTTGCTCGTGTAGAGAAAGCCCGAGGCAGCAGACGCAAAAGGAGTTTAGGATACCGCTGCAGGCATGCAACGATAAGCGGGCGGCGCGCAATTAGCTTCGACCCTGGGCAATTTAGCTGATAAACTACTCCGCAACTACAGCGGCGGTTCCACGACGTTGTTGGGTCCTGGCTTGGTCCGCATTTCGTGGCTTTCCTCCCATCTGACTTTCTTTTCACCTGTATATACCTGACGGCGGCATTGGTTCTTCGCATCAGGCCGTTTCATGTGGCCGGACCCTGTTAGAGAAGTGACAGACTCTCGGAACACTTTGGCCAGCCCGTCGTCGCCGCCGCCAATAATCAATTGAGCCCCAGGGACGGCAAACACGACACACGCAGCCTCGACGCCAGGCACGCGATCACCCCGACGCGCCTCACCCGCCATTCACGGCGTATTCTTCCACCACCCACGACCCCTCCCACCACCAGTGATAGCACCAGTCTTGGTCTGCGGGCAGCACCATGGTGGACGCACAGGATGCCGGGAGTAAGCTCTTCTCCAAGAGCCGCTGGAAGACCAAGATCTTCGAAAAGACCAACGAACTCGCCGCCGCCACGCAGCCCAAGACGAAGCCGCCCTCGGACGACCACGACATCAACGACTTCCTCAAGCCCTCGACCGACCGCGCCGCCCAGCAGCAAAAGGACGCCGCTGCCGCCGCCTCAGCCTTCCTCCGACCCCGCATAGACGTTGCGAGCGCCCAGCGATGGCCCGGCGCACAGACGATCCTGAACAGCGCAGCTGCTGCCGGAAAGAGCCCAGGGCCCGGCGGTCTGAAGACAGGCACGCGCAAGAAGGGCTTCACCGTGAGCTTCGTGCGCACAGTCCCCGAAGTCATAGGCCATGGCGGTGACGAGTGCGAGGACCCCGTTGTGGAAGTCGCGAAGAACAAAAAGGCAGCGACGACCCCGGAACCAGAGAAGGTGCAATCTCAGACGCCGCAGGACGATGCAAATCTGGGAGCGCGCAGCAATGGCATAGGCAGGACCCCCTCGCAGACTGAGTACAGGACCAACCTCACGAGAACGCGGACGAACCCCGGCGAGCTGTCCCCACCACTCGGCCAGAAGATGCAGATGGGTCAGATCAACACCCACGCTACGCAACTGCCACCCACACCGCCGCGCTACATGGGATCTATGGGCTTGGGAGACCGACCAAAGGGCCTCACCAGGGCGCCTACTGGCTTTGACGGAATACCAGAGCCTATATCTATCCCTCCGGGAAGGCGACCCAGCACCAGCGAGGACTCTGTGTATTCACAGGATTCGGACAATCTCTCACCTGTCATGTCGAGGAATATGTCAGTACGCGAACCCACTATCCAAGAAGAGGACGACTTCCAGCCAAAGCCGCTTAAACGCACGCAGACTGGCTTCAGTACTCTGGGTGACGACGATCTGCCCTCGCCGGTGCATTCGATACCTTCGGTGCCCATGATGCCAGAGAGACATTTGGCTGAGCAGGAGGACGACGGCCCGAGTTCGTTCGCTGCGAGGGTGAAACAAAAGATGCGATCGGAAGAGGGCAGAACACTGCATGAGGCGTCGCAACGGGCAGCCTCGGGTCAAAGACGGGACTCCGAGACCAGTTCACAGCAGTCCCTCGTGGGCACACCTCCTTCCTCATATGCCACACCGGCCGCAGCCAGAACACCTCTAGAGACACCACAGTCGGATACCAGGGGATCTCCTCGGATGAGACTGGACACTGAGGACCCTGAACGATCGAGAGCCCGTGGGCCCTCCCCAGGACGGCCGGGAGCGCAATCACCACCATCCGCGTCTAGATCGCAATATGTCGCATTTTCCCCTTCACAGACACGCGCCTCTCCTGCTGCACGGTCGGATCCTTTTATCAATACAAACATACAACGAATTCCTTCGATCAAAGAGAATGCTCTTTTCGGGGCCCTTGACGACAGCCCAAACCTCCCAACTCCACCCCAACTTCCCCCGAGTACATCTTATTTCTCGTCTGCTCAACCTCAGCTGCAACCTTCTTCACTTCCCCAGCCTCTAGCAATCTCAGGACCTCCCAGCCAGTTGCCATCTCGGAATGCATCTGGTGCCAGTACCAGCGCCAAACCCGCTGCTCCTCTCGCTCGTTCGGATACGAGATCTGCGAATGATTCTGCATACCGGGACTTTGCCGAGCGCATCACGCACATGAGAGGCATCTTCCAGCTGACAGCTCAGCTCGGGGGCAACCTCAACAATCACTCGCCGATGCAATGGCTCAGAGTCGCTACTTGGTGGTTCTTGAAAGGACGTACTGGAATGGAGAACCTGATAAGGAGTCAATCCAAGTCTGCCGAACCGATACAAGAGCGACTGGCTCAGCCGCATGTCGACCTGGCCAAAGTGTGGTGGATCATCTCTGAAGTCCTTCCGAACCATCCCAGCTTACAGGGGTACGGCAACTCGTCCCCCGACGCGCAAGTCGGTATGGCAAGACAAGCTGGAGACCATGCGAGTGCGGAGGTTTTTGATATACAGAATGCGATTGCTCATTACCTCAAATTGCTGGTGGGGTCGATGAAGAAGCACCAGAGCATGCCTCCAACGCAAGCTCTTATCCAGGGACAAGACCAGAAGATCTGGGAGGAATATCCGACATTCCCCGCAGACGCGGCGAGCGTGCTCACTTCCGGCCTTCCTGCTCCCAGCGGCAGCCAGTTTAGTCTATCTCAGTACATACCCCTCTCCGACACCAAGACCGACTTTTGCTATTTCCGCATGTTCGTCAAAGCCTCAGTGTCGACCGATGACCCTGCCACCGATCGCGTTCCGATGGATGCTGTTGTTTCTGTCATGCGGTCTAAGGAGGAGTATCAAGTCAAGTTGGCCATCTGCAGCCAGAACAGCCTCATCAACCTTCTGGTGGGCTCCGGATCAGTACTTGGCTGGAAAGACGTCAACTGGAAGCAGCAGGTTTCACAACTTACTGTTCAATTGAAGCACGGATTTGTTCTGACACTTGCGCTGCACGAAAGTGACTTCCGTAGTCTCTGGTCTATTGTCAACCACACGAACCGAGTCGAGTCAGACCTACGAGAACGGAGAGACGAGCGCTTTGCTTGCAAATTGTACCTCCAGGAGGCGAGCTACCGGGATCCTGCAAACCCATCAGCATGGCCAGGCGATCGGATTCAAGGCTGCAAGCTGATGGTGTTCCAAAGGATCGAACGAAGCAGTGAAGGTACAGGAAAGCGGAAATTGCATCGAGGCTACCGTATGGTTCTGGTCACGCCGCAGCAAACTAAGCAAGTCAGCTTGATCAACCATGAGCTCGGAACAAAACAGGAGCCCATGAACTTCGAATACGTCACCGAAGCTAACCAGGCTCCGGCGTTGAGACTGCGATTCCGTGAAGAGAGTGCGGATAAGAAGCTGAGGACATGTGCAGCTCACCTCGTTTTCCAGAGTGGCAGGGATCGGAACGACCTCTTTGGTACATTCACATCCATGAACGTCGCAGAGGGCGAGACTACATTCGCCCAAGTAGCGCTCAAGGCTTTTCACATTGAGAGTGCGGATCAGTCAGAGGGCTTTACTTCGCAGGGTAGTCACGTGCTTGAGAAGCTGCAATGGGTGGAAGCCAAGGTTATGAACCTGGATCCAGAAGCTGCAGGACTAGAATCAGCACCTACTGTCAAGAGTGAGAGTTTGAGGATCATGTGTCGACACACAGCCGGTATCATCTCTGACCGCATGAACTTGGGTAAGTCGAGTCTTCTCGGATGAAGAATGCGATACTAACGATTTCCAGGATCAGGTGAACTTCTAGTCCGCCTCCCAGTCGACGGAGCCGCCGAACTCACACTCCTCCGCGAAGCTCAACAAGACATGGCTGTAGCTGTCGACAGCAGCCGAACTGACCCCGCCGTTCCCGACGAACTAGCCAAGCTTCTGAAGACACTCACAAGCGCCTCGACAATCCGACGACTGACCTTCAACTCTTTCAATGACCTCCACACCTTCCAGTTGGCTGTTACCGGCTTCCACGTGAAATTCGACGGGTATGTCTACCCCCATCACTGTTCCTTCTGACACCTAGCTAACACTATCCCAGTCTCGCAAACTCTTTCTCCATCTCCCGTCGCCGCATGGTCGTTCCTATCTACAAGCAATGGACCGCCACACGAATCCGCCTGCAAATCGTCGAACAAGACAACATCATCCAACTCCTCGCTTTCTTCGAAGACTTCTCTCACGCCGACGCCATGAACTTCCAACTCCGCCTCACCGACACGTTCCAAAAGACTGACAAGAACGGTCAGTTCGGACTCAAACTTGTTGATGCGAAGTTCGCTCTTCCGGTCGATGAACGCAGGGGCGAGGGCAAGATCCAGAAGGCGGAGGGCAGACTTACGGGTTGGTCTGGTACGAAGAGACGATTTGTTTGTTTAGATGAGATTGAGTATCCGGGCGAGCATGATGATATCCTCATCATGTTTGATTCTGCTGAGAGTAAGTCATGTCCACACCACTTCATAAAAGGGACAATGCTGATATGAATAACAGCACGCGATACCTTCGCTGAAGCCTTACCCGCTGCGACCATGGAGCGCAAATTTACCGTTCGAAGGAAGATATAAGCTCCCTTCCTTTCCCAGCTTACTGGACTTGGAAGACTAGCTGGCTTGCATAACCACCACCACCACACTTCACATCACATACCACAGATGGACACTTTCCGTTGTTACTACCTACCACCAAGCGCGAAGCTCGCTTCCCCATTTCCTTCCCTCTTCTCTCTTCTACTCCACACCCTTCTGGACAAAGAAGACAGGCGCTTCTCTTTTTCCTTTTCTATCTTGGCGTTTTGGAGCAAAATGTGACACGAGATATCTCTATTGGCATGTAGGGAATTACGGGGTGTTGGCTTGTTAGGGCTTCCTAAGCATTGTTGGCATATGTTTGTTAGCGGTTGTTTCGATATATACCAGAGTGTGTTCGCTGTCAAATACAGATGTCTGAAATGGAAGCAGAGTTATTGGACTGGATATCTCGACTGAGCGAATGATTGATGCACAGTGGGTGAATGTGTGAAGTATGTATTACGTGTATAGATAGTATGCTATACAGATGCAGCGAGCGAGCGAGTCTTTGACTTATTGTCTCGCGCCTACGCTCCCGCTTTCCCAAACGCAAAAAGGAAACTGACCGAAAGAATACCAGCAGCGAATTCCGATGCCCAATGAACAAACCCAAACCTATCCAGGTATATAGCCAAAAATGCAGAACAAGTCGTGACGTCGTAAAAGAAAGAAAGAGGAAATGGGGATATGCAATATATATATGTGCTAGGGCCAAAAGAACAATGGGGAATCCAACTACTCGTAGAAAACAAAAAGGTTGAGACAGACACGCCGTGTCTCTCTCTGGTCGCAAATCAGATAATGTCGAAAAGAGAGGTTTCACACCGACCCCGTACCAACAGGATCAACATAATACCTACTCCCAATACTCCTGCGAATCTTCTCGCGCCTCTTCTCCGTCCGTCGCTCCCTCAATTTCTCTTTAACACCGGAGATACCAATGTATTGGACGTGGTATTTCTTCAAGCCGGGCAGACTCTTGCCTTGACGCCAGGAACCCCTACCACGCCGACTCTGTTCGTACTCGATGGATACGGTGGAGACGTTGTCGGGTAGGGAATTTGTGCGACGGAGGTCGTGGCTGGAGCGGCGTTTGGAGATGCCGCCGCTGCGGTGGCGGCCGAGAGGTGCGGTGGGGGCTTGGATTATGACTTTGTCGGGGGAGGCGAGATGGCGGGCTGTACGGGGGGTGCGGAAGTGAGGAGGCAGGGTGATGTGGTGCCGACGTTTGTTCGTGCCAGCACGTTCGAGACCCATGGAGTTGCCGATCAGGAAGCCGCCGCTGCCGCGGAAACCGCCTTTGAGCTTGTTGCTGATGGTGCTCGCGCGGCGGGGGCGCGAGGGTAAGGGTTCTGGCTCTGGGTCTTCGATGTCGCTGGTGTCGCCGCCGGAAGGGAGGCCGCTGTCTTCGTCCGAGTCATCTTCTGAGTCGCCGTCTTCGAATCCGTCCCAGAAGCCGCGGGGGCGCCAGAAGGGGTGGAGGGTGCCGTCCTCTTCGTTGACGCTGGGGACGGAGGGGTTGCGGTGGATGTGCTGCTTGAATGGGTCGCTGGTGTACCGTGTTCGGTTGTTGGAGGCGCGACCGAAGAGTGGTGTGATGAGGTTGTCGGAGTAGCGCCGCGCTCGCTGGAGGACAGACAATCGGCGCTGGGGGTGCGAATCAGAGCGCTCCGGTGGTCCTGGTGGCGGGGGTACCAGTTGGTTCTCGAGTTCTTCCATGGGGGTGGGAGGGATAAATTTGATGATGGGTGGCTCCGGTGGGTCTCGGGGGTTCGTGAGAGGCGATTCTACACCATCAGGCTGAGGTAGGTCGAACTGTGTTGGGGGTGTCGAGGGCTCGAAAGTCAGAGTGGGCTGGGGGTAGGGCTCGTCAACCTCCTCGCGAGCTTGTTGAGGTGCCTCAGGTGCCTCTACGAATGGCGGACTGGGTGTACTCCGCACCTCACGATCGTCCTGCGGTGTGAGATAGGTGTTGCCAGTTATTTGACGCTGCTCTGGCAACAGTGAATTACCGCGTGACTGCTGTACAACGAGCAGCGAGTGGTTGTTGTGGGGGTAGATGCTCACAGCAGTCGCCTCGGTGACTTCGACCGTATCGGAAAACTGTGAGAACGGCGTCGATTGAGAGTACAGGTGCCGAGCATTGGCGTGCTCCTCAGTCCGCGAAGCAGACCGAGAAGCGGATTGGTCGAAACTGACGCGGCCATGGTCTCCAGAATCAGGACGCGATGCGTTGCTGCGGCGTTTCACCTCGTCCGTCGATGTGCGATCCTTCAAGATGGGACGCACTGCCATCTCGGGAGAGAGAGATGCTCGCTTTGCCCATGAGACTGGCCTTGCGCCCTGACGCAGATGAGGTGAAGTGTCTTTTAGCGGTGAAAACTTCTCCAGGTTCTCAGATGTAGCAGGATTCTGCTTAGAGTCAACAAGAGTAGCTGACTCTGCAGTCTCACGAGCCGCAAGTAGTAGACGGACTCTATCCGTCAGCGCAGACGGCACACGAGTCTCTTCAACAGGATGGCTCGCACCCATGAAGACATCGCGTTCGGCTGGCCCATCTACGCCCTGATCGGGAAGATTGGGCAGTGTGTTCTCAAGATTCGCCGGCAGCTTCACATCGGTAATCACTTGTGACTGTCTTCTGTTCTTGCGCGATGTGGGTGACGTCCGACGTGGCTTTGGCGATAGGGTCGGTGACGGCGCTCGTACAGGAGGCGATGGAGCTCGCATGGGAGGTGATGGTGCTCGTACAGACATCCGTTTGACGGGATCCTCCATCGGTGCAGGACTTTCGGAGGGCCGCAGCTCTGTAAAGTTCCTTGGCTTTGAAGACAGCGTGCGTCTGGTGGCTTCCGGCGCCGAGTTGACTCGCTTGTGGTAGCTACCGCCTGATCGTGCGACTGTGCTGTGCCGACTAACTATGTCCGCTGCTGGCTGAAGTACGTTTCGTATCGACTCTTGATGGGCTAGTGTATGCGCCGAGCTATCGATAGTCCTCTGTCGCAACGACAGCGACGGGGACATGATGCGCGATGAACCAACATCCGAGTTGGTGCTGAACCTCGCACTCCTGTCGGCGATGTTCGTCCTCTTGTGCACCAGGCGATGGGGCGGCATGTCGTCGTACTGCGAGATCATTGAGTTGCGATTCGAGTGGGTCTCAGAGCCGAGATTCGCAGGTGAACTGTAGTCTCTCCTGTATGCCATGTTCCGCCCAGAGTGTCGCAGTGTTGGGTTTCGTCGCGGTGGAGTGATATTGACGTACGCCGACACGACCGTCGAGGCCACTGATGCTGTGGAGAGTCGCTTGTTGGTGTTGTCGCGCTGCCTCTCGCCCGTCATGCCTCTACCCTCCGAGGGCCAGCCAATTGAATGCGCAAAGTTCTCGATGGAGGGCGTGACGGGACTGTTGTGGCTGGCTTCGACGCGTTCGCGCAGGCTGGAAGCGCGTCGGGCGCGGGTGCTTGGGGTCGGCGAGGCGGCTTCGACGATGGTGACGGCGGGCGCGGGTTCTTCGACGTCCTTTGCGACAGGTGACGGGATACGCGCTGGAGCGGATGACTTGCGAGGCGTGCTGGAGGGCGTTCTGCGTTTTCTGCGAACCGTTACGTTCCGCATGAGGTCTGTGTTCCACTCCCGATCTGGGATATCCTCGACCACCTGGGATCCCTTGTCCTCTTCAGCACCGACCGTTGAGTCCACCAGTTCAGTAGTGGGGAAGTACGGGCCTTGCTTGTTCGTGGGCGTGACATCATGCTGGTCGTGCTCGAAAGCCAGGCCCAGTCCGCGGTCTTCCTCGACGGTGCTCAGCCTGTCGTTAGCAGGTGTTGCGGCTCTGCTGTCTTCGCGGTCCGAGGAGAAAGGGTCCTCTCTGGCGGTCTGGAAGGAATCCGCGCGCGAAGACGGATATGTGTATATCGGGGGCCGTTCGAGCGTCGCAGTCGTGCCATTGGTGCCGTTGGAGGCGTTGGTTCGCGGTGGACTGGGATCGGGCGTGGGAGGACTGCGCGCATTGACCGGCGTGCTGAGCGACGATTTCTGCGATATAATCGAGTTCCTTACGCTGTCGGCATGTAGCGGTTGCTCGGGCATCTGTGCAGTTCTTCCGTCCTGGGAAGCTGTGGGCGGCGTAGGCGGGAGGCCGCTGTCAGCTCCCGGCAATGCGCCTGGAGACTGAAGCGGTGTATTATGCTCGCTGTCGGCTATCGAATCCGTGTCGTCGGTCGCCTGTGTGGTATAGGAATAGTCGCGCTTAAGGGGCGCTGCAGCCCTCGAGTAGGTGCGGTAGTCGTCGCTACGGCGCGGCAGATGTTTCGGTTGGCGGAGATTCGGCGAGGCCTTGAATGATGATTCGAGCATGGCATAGACGTCGGACTGAGGTTGTGACATGGTGGCCAGGCGCCTCAAAGTGAAGGCGCACTCGAAACTCTATCCCCGTCTGCCGTCCCTATCGCTGCTGGCCCGTGTACCGGTGCAAGGTGGCTCTTCCTGCGGTTAAGAAGAAGCCATGACCCGCGAGCGCAAGACGGCAGTGTTCTTCTACATGCGACGCTGATGTCGCTCTCACCAGTCGCAGCGCTCAAGAGGTATGCAGGCTGCCGTGGGCGCAGGGCGATGGGTGGTGACGCAGGTAGCCTCGGGATTGCAGTGCCAAGAGAACCGTTCACGATGCGATTAAGCGGGCGCACGATGGAGACTCAACTGTCACGATATTTTGGGGCGGCCTCGGATCCAGCGAACAAGATACGGCGGTGCGATAGGGCGAGGGCAGCGAATTTGGAGACGGGAGGGTGGTGTGCGGAAGGAGCAGGTCACTGCGCAATAATCGATGCGCGCCGAATTGGTGGCTTTCCAAGCTTCGGGCGACGGCGAGGTAGCGGCTTGGGGTCCAAATGGTCTAAAGAATCTCTCTCCTGGAGCGGTCCTGGGAAAAACGGGAAGAGGCCGTGGTGGCGACTATCTATCGAGAAAAGCAACAATTATCACTACGGGCATTA